CCTTTGACAAGCACCAGGAAGCAGCAAGAAGCAGGGATTACGGCATTGCACGTAGCACGGACGTCCACCAGGCGTGGCATGGAACATGAGTGGCCCAGCCGAGGCGGTCGGCCATCAGCAGCCAGGAGGGGCCTTCGTCTCCCTCCTCTGACCCCACCATCTCGTCACCTGGCGCTTTCATGCTGTATCTGCGGCCTGCGCATCCAAGGGTGGGTACCGATGGGCGACATGACGGGCAGAACGAGACACACAGGGCTGGCCCGACTCTGCGCGCCTCAGGCACTTCTGCCTCCGCCTCGCCGCCCTGTTGCAGCAGGACGACATGCACGAAAACCTGGGTGGATCACGCACCGCACCTTGTCAGACAGCGCAAACCAACCCGGGCCACCCCCCCTTTGGTGCTGACCCATGAGCGCTCGCGCTGGTGCCACCCTGATCATGGCTTCGCATCCTGGCATGACCAGGCACAACACGTTGGGTGCCACCACTGGACGATCTGACGGCTCCCTTGGCGTCCCTTGGTTTTCTGCACAGTTGTTTCTTTTTCGTTCTGCGAAAAGAGCCAGACCATCCTATCGGGCGCATGCTTGCGGTTCGCCTCACACACCGACCGACCACCGTCATTTCTCTTGACGCCAGAGTGCACCATCAGGCCAACCTCACGACCACATGGGAGACGCAATGTGAGCCAACGACGCCTCCCTCGCAGCGCAGCTTGCCACTGCACACTTGTGACTACGAAGTAGACGCGTCGCGCAGGCTGCATCAACGGAATGAGCATTTCGACCTATGAACTGTGGTCGAGGCTACTAATCTGGATCGACCAAGTGTGATGGACAGGCAGCAGAGAAAGAAAGTCGAGAGGCCGGCGCCTCCATCGTAGCATAATGCAGGCGCCGTCCCATCCTTGACAGGCCGAAACGGCGACGATGTTATGTGACACAGACTCTCGGCCAGGACTGATGGCGAGACGTTTGCAGCGAAACGACAGGCAAAAAAAAGACTGGGGCTGCTTGGAGTCCGAAGTGGCATTCGCTGCGAACATGAACACCCTTTGCTACCTTCCGACAAGTCTGGGACGCTGGGAGGTGGTCTCAGTGAAGTTTTTGACGGCACGCCGTTTTCATGCAAACAGCCTGCCAAGTGCCACGAGGTTTCCTCCGCCAGTCTAGCTAGGTCAGGTTGCTTGTGATCAGTCGACGACAATGGGAAGTAACACCACACAACCGTCGAGGAGCAGCCCATTTTCACCCCGAATGTTCTGTTTGAGTCACCGAAAAGCAAAGCGCCGGGCCTCCCTCGGCAGCCGTTGCCATCACGATGACAAGGCGTAGCTTACGGGACAATAAAGGGTCCTTTTTTGAGGCCATCACGCGACCCTAAAAAAAAAAAAGAAGGGTTGCTTGCTTGCGGGTTTGAGGACATTCGCCCAAGTTGCCATAATCAAATGCCACAATCCTGGATGACCCCAGGGTGTCCCCCGGTGTCTCTCAAAGCCGCCGATTCACACCGGACGACGATCTGACCGGTACCGCGACAGGCCACGGGGTCTCTCCGACCATGACGATGATGATGTTGAAGGGATAGTTTCGAAGTCGCCCCAAATACCTGGACCAGCAAGGGGAGGAGAGAGCGAGGGACGTGTCTGTGCACTGTTCATCGTCCCGCCTCTGCCAAACCCGTCGTCGCCTCGCTTTCGACGACAGCGAGGCCAGCTCCCGCCACTGCACGCACCAAGACGCCCCCGCGGCAGCCGTTCTTTCGCCCTCTGCCTCGCACTTTCTCGCCCGTCCGAGTCATCAGCAACAGCATCAGTATCCTGGGTGAGCTGATCCCCACCTTTCGTGGCTGGCTTCAGAGAGGATGTGGCAGAGCCAGCGTCGCGTTACAAGCCCAGGAAACGAATGACAGCACTTTTCGCCGCACACGCCCCCCTCCCCCCCCCCTGCAACAGATTGTGGCCAGTCATGATGTCGCGCTCATCAATGAACTTGCCCAAGCTCGTATATTTGCAGCAGAACGTAGCGTCAAGGTGGATACCTGACGTCTCCGAGGAGCCCATCTGTTGGTCGGTGTGTCTTCTGCCCTCCAGACGCACACCCAGCCCCCCTAGCTCTCTGGTGAGCACACCCCTCCCCTCCATCATTCTGCTAGGGGGAACTCTATCTGACCAATGCGTTCGCCTTTTTGTGACCCACTCCTCCGCCGCTGGACGGATCGAAACAAGAATAGCAGGCTCCAGGTTGAGTGGACCGACCGCTAAGACACCGCGGCCGCCATCCATGTCACTAACATTACGGCGCCGGACCCACGACCCACGACCAAGGCGACCAGGGTCTTCCTTCGAAAGTGAAGACAAGTGGTCTGTGTGTGGAAAGTGAGAGATGCCTATGCTTGCTTGGCCCATGGTGCTTGGGAAGCCTCGCGGCCCACCAACCCACGTAAGTAACACACTCACTCACTTGCACGCACACAGGCACCCACCCCTGCTCACACGGGCAGCACGGAGTACGTACTGGCCCCCCCCCCTGTTTCCCTCTCGTTCGCTCGTTCGCTCATCGAGAGAGACGATATCAACCTTCGCATCCCACCCCGTCATCAGCGGTGAACTTCTTTTTGAACCTCATCCCCCACCCTTTCTCACCTGTCCCTTCGGTCAACTTTCCTCATCTCTCTCACGAACCATCTCCCTGGACCAGGACTTGGACACCAACAGCTCTCTTCGACCCCTAACACAACAAAATCGACTCTTCCTCTTCGCCCCTCACGCCATCATCACTCCTCATCCCGTCGTCTGTTGACTCGTTTACTCGACGTCAACGATAACGACCCACAAGGAAATCCAAGGACTCTTCTCTCCCGTGGACTGTTGCTTTTGGTTTCTGTTACTCTCCATCCATCCCCAAGGACCCAAAGGATTCCCGTTGCTGCTTTTCCTTTTTCTTCTCTGGCAGGACTTTTTCCTCCCCGAAGAAGTTCCTATTACCGACATAGTGCTCCAGAGAAAGGAATAATCACCCCATTTGGACTTCCAGGATCTACTCCTACCCCCCCACAAATCGCATAACATGCAGCATGTACCAACACACGGATACCCAACCCCTCCCGCCTCGCCCGGTGTACGAAGATCATCACAGCAACAAGTGCGGCCTGCAACAACCCATCACGACAGCGCCACACTGCCAAGCACGTTACATCCCGTTGACCCCGGAGGCTCGGTTGGGAAGGTATCTCGAAGGCAAGCTCCAGCTGACGACCATCCTGGGTACTGGCGCCTACGGCGTGGTCTACTCGGCCGTCGATGTCAAAACGGGCATCAAGTACGCCGTTAAGTGCCTCAGCAAGTTCAACCAGGACGGAACTCCCTTGGACAGGCGACAGGTTGCGTTTCAGAACCGGGAGATCCGCCTCCACTACCTCGCCTCAGCACACCCCAACGTCGTCTCCATGCTGAAGATTGTCGACGACCCAGACTGCATCTATGTGATCTTGGACTACTGCCCGGAAGGAGACCTGTTTTATAACATTACAGAGCGCGGCCAATACGTTGGAAAGGATGCACTCGCCAAGAGCGTATTCCTGCAAATCTTGGATGCCGTCGAGCACTGCCACGCTCTTGGAATCTACCACCGGGACCTGAAGCCTGAGAACATTCTTGTGTCGAACCATGGAGAGACCGTGAAGCTCGCAGATTTCGGCCTGGCGACCGCCTCGGAGCGATCCGAAGATTATGGCTGCGGTTCGACCTTCTACATGAGCCCAGGTAGGCTAACCTTCCCTTCCTCGGCCGACGTTGCCGTGCCTTCTCTTCTTTTCCTATCTGCCCCAGCACCCCACTAACGTTTCTTCTCCCTCTTGCTAGAATGCCTGGACCACTCTGCCCGGAGACCCTACTACTTCTGCGCCCCCAATGATGTCTGGAGCCTTGGCGTGATTCTGGTCAACCTGACCTGTGGACGCAACCCATGGAAACAGGCCTCCTTTGAGGATTCCACCTACCGGGCCTTCACCCGTAACCAGGAGTTCCTCAAGTCCATCTTGCCCGTTTCGGACGACCTGAACGACATCCTTGGAAGGATTTTCACCCGCGAGCCAGAGCAGAGGATCACCGTCACCGAGCTGCGCGCCCGGATTCAGGCCTGCTCGGTCTTGACCATTCCCGCCGTCGCCCCTGTGACTCTGCACGTCCCCGAGGTTTCCCCCGTGGCCACGCCAGAGTTCATCCACCACCCCATTGAATACGTTGATTGTGAGGAGGCCATCGTCATGGATGACGATTACGACATGACCCTCTCCCCCGCCTCTTCTTCCTCTGACGAGGGATCCATCTGCTCTGACGATGACGGTTCGCTCACCTCGAGCGGCTCAACCATCGATGACCTGGACGAAGACTTCTTGCAAGAGCAGCAGCAGCAGCAGCAACAACCGGAGACGCACGAGTGCCCAGCGCCCCATGCGTACGAACCAGAAGAGCCCCCAGCGCCGTCCTTCTTCCCCACACAGGAGTTTGTGCCTCAACACTACACCGGTCCCATGCCCCACGTCTCCATGCCCCAGGTCCCGATGCCCGTCCATGCACACCAGATCCAGTACCAGGCAGCATGTGCGGCACCGCCTCCCAAGCCCTACTTCCCTTTTTGGTGGGAGATGGTCAAGTATGTGCAGCAGGCGCCAGCGATCCACCCGCACGTGCCTTTCCACCACCAGGTTCCTCTCTTTGCTCCTCAGGGATGCTATTAGATCTTCCTGCTTTCATGGACCATACGTTTCTGTACCCGAGCCGCTGGCACTGCTACTAGATATGGAACGCCCAGAGGACACGGCGACAAAAGGATAACCACCACGCAAACCACAAATCCTTGACACAAACGCCACACGTTTACTTTCTCACCCATTACACTTTTGACATGGCTGGACTCGACATCCGATCCGCCAGTACTCCCAAAATTATACGTTTTAACGAATCAAACCCAAAAAGGCTGGCCGGTTTCCCAAAAAGCAAAAAAGGTCGACACGACACCAGCGACACCCACACGTTTGATCCCCTTGGATCACATTCACCCATTTGTATCTACCACGAACCTTGGACACATTGGACTGGACCCATGGATTCCATCTGCGGAGTTCTTTTTTCTAGTCCTCTACCCATTTTCCTTATGTCTATTGCGATATTGGAAT